TGTAGCCCAGTGCTGAAACAACCTTATGATAAAAGACAGGAAGCAGAATGGTATCAATAAATAAGGCAACTTCAATAATCTTTAGCAACCAACTTTTATGTAGTGTTAGGAAGCAGGTCATAGTCCTTCTTCCTAAGGAGTACTATGACCTGCTTCCTAGAGARTACATAAAAAGTTGGTTGCTAGAGCTTGCTAGGTGAAGACAGGCTAAGAAAGTTCAGGCTGCTCAGCCTGGAGAAGGTTGTGTGGAGAACTCACAGCAACCTTTCAGTATCTAATGGGGGAAAGGTGGAGAGGGACTCGTCATCAGGCACTGTAGTGATAGGACCAGGAGTAATGGGAACAAACTGAAAGAGGGCAAATACATGGAAGAAACTCTTCACTGTGAGGGTGATGAGGTGCTGGCACGGGTTGCCCAGAGAAGCTGTGATACCCCATSCCTGGAAGTGTTCAAAGCCAGGCTGGATGGAGCTCTGAGTGGAAGGTGTCCCTGACCATGGCAGCAGCATTGGAAAGAGATATTCAAGGTCCTTTCCAAACCAAACCATTTCATAACCCTATGATTCTACAAATTAATGCTTTAACCCCAAAACTAACAGTATTCTTTTTTAAAGGCTAGCTGGCCTGTATTATTTCTGTGCTAATTGCTAACAGCAGCAGATCTCAGTGTGTGTTCAGCCTTGCCTACCCAACCATGTCCTATCACACCCCGGAGTGAGAGCACATCCAGCTCCACTCCAGGCCGTCTCCTGTTTTCATGACCCAGTCTTMTATTTACTGAAGACACAGCAAATACATCTAGGCTGCATGACGATATTTAAGTAAACACGACTCCACTCCTCCACCAAACCTAATCCTTCAACATGCTTTCACAACCGGTTCTCAACCCCAGCACCATGCCCGATTCAACTCGTTTCGCTCCATTCTCAAAGAAGTCGATCGACTGCGTGAGAAAGGAAACAAACGGGCCGCGTCCGAGCGCTATGAATGTACTCCGATACCCCTCAGGAAGCCGCCGCACATCCTGTTTCTCCCACTCGCTTTGAAGTGTTCCCCAGCCGCCCCGCACTATCTGTGCGCTCCCCGGGCCCTCCTCCCAGCCCATCCGCCGGCTTCCCACGTTACCGAGGSGAGCGGTGTTTGCAGTCAGCGCTTCCCAGCCACCAAAATAAGGCCACCGGCCTCTCCCTCCGCCTCCTCCCGCTCGCACACACGCTGCACAGAGGCACGGGAGTAGTGGTGACCGCTTCCAGAACAACCCTTCGCCACCTACTTCCTGCACATCGCTAATTTCGCAATTTCAGCCTGACAAACAGACTCTGATGCCCGAGGTCCGGGCGGGAGGGGGCATTTCAGCTCGCCCACTGCCTGAAGGGAAGCCTCGGAGCCACGGATGCTTCCCAGCCACTCTGGGCCTCCAGCGGCCATCCATCCATCCATCCATTCATCCGCTCACTCACCCATCCCGCCCAGCGCCCGCCCCGGGGCGCGCAGACCCCGGCCCGGCCCCGCACGTGTCGCTGCTGCCGCCACAAAGCCCCTCCGCGGGGCCGGGGCAGCGCGGCCCGACCCGCAC